GAGAGAGAGAGAGAGAGAGAGAGAGAGAGAATATCAAATAAGACTGGAGCTACTAAGATAGTGATTTGGATTTAGAGGTTGGACTGAGAGGTTGCAGAATGTTAGGAACTACCTTCTGGTAAGGAAAGGAACAGATTACCTTTTTATCATTTCTTCATCTTCATACTGTAAGTATTCTCTCATCAAAATTATCTATGGATTGATTCTTTTCATCTCATGAGATAGGAACAATTCACGTGAATAAGTCTGTAGTTTAGCTGCTAGAAGATGCGCAATTATATTCCAATTTGTAGTTGTTTTAGTTCCTTACTTTATAACTTTGTAGAACACATTCGTGCAGCAATCAAGTAAGCTAATCAAATCCCAGTGACCTTAGAAACTTACATGTTAAAGAAATTGAAATATGTAGGGGAAGGTAATACAGAAATGACTAAAGGCTAAAACACCTATGTCTTTTCTTTTAAATTTAAATCTACTGAAGATTGTGCATGCTGAATTTTAAAGAAAAGATCTCTACAGACATAAATTAATTTGATTCAATCTCTTAATTAAGATACATTTCGAGCATCTAAACAGTAATTAAAGTGTAAATATTATTAGCCACCAACATAGCAGAATGTTAGTAGAAGAAGTGATAATGTGTTTAGAATCCTAAAGAATGGCATAGTAATCATAGTTAGGGTGGATCACATAGTATGCAACAGTGTGGTTCCAACAGATCTCTGCCTCAGACTTTATTCTGTGGCCTCTTTAATGTTATGGTTGAGCAAGCTGTTTATTTTAGTTAAACCTCAACACAATAGGCCGTTTGCATGGATTAATGCCTTAGGTGTTACTATAAGATGAGGTTTCTCAAATGTCCCATAACAGGACAGTAATGTGAGGTCAAGTGGAAGTCTCTCACTTGTGTGAGAAAATTAAAAACACTACACATATGACATGGAAGAACCTTAGAGACAGCTTTGAAATTCAGATTGTGCTAGAATAAACATTTGCTCTTTCTAGCCAAAGGTATAGGAATTGTCTTTTAAAGGTTCTGCTATAAGGATTATTACACGTTTGCTCATGCCCCAGCAGGTGGCAGCTAACTAGAATATGATTCATTTTCACCAGGAGACTAAGAAACTAAAATTACTTCTCAAGTAATAGTGCCCAAGAATAAGAGGTCATTAGTGTCAGGTAATACAAAATGCAGTGAAAGACGAAGCTAACGCCTTCTGTCGCTCTCATTGTCGTTGTTGTGTTGCTGTAGGAACAAGGTTTACACGAATGTGATATACATTTTCTTCCTTTATTATTCACCATAGGCTTGGTAGTTTTTCCATAACAGCCTTATTTGATATTTTAAGGCTTTCTTCTTGATATAGCTTCTCTTTGTGTGAGTATATATGTGTGTGTTTACAATTTTTCATTTCTGCTTTGACCTTGGAACCCTCACAGCTTTAGCTCCTAGCAATAAAGATTGCCATGTGATTGAAATAGCTGCACAGCAAATGGATCTATAGGATAAAGCACACAATTTTCACTACTTTTAAATATAAATGATCACTGAAAGTCTAAATAAAGTATTTTTCATTTTCTATTAAGAAATAAGCAAATACAGAACTGGCACAATTTTAAGGTAATTTAATGTGATCAAAAAAATACTTAATAGCCATTAACACTAAGAACTGTATTTATAATGTCAGTATAGAGGAGATTCTTGCAATAACTTCAAAATATCCATATAATAACCAAGGCATCTCCTACATCATCACATCATTTTGTTGTCTTTGAAAGGTAAATTATTGAATTGTTGCTGTTGGTCTGAAGAGTGAAGCTTAGGAAGAAAGGATGGAATTAATCCTTTTCACCCTCTAACAGATGGAAATCCGGAGGTGGGCAATTAAACGTGATAACTAATTGTACATTTCAGAAATGTCTTAAGCCACTGAATATTGACAGCATGTTTCAGAATCCAAAATTCTTCCATGCTATTTTTTTCTTTGGCATGAGAAAACAAGTTCTTTAGTCTTCATGAGGGACTTCACAGTGAATGTTAGTGGCTTTTTGTAGTAGTATGCCCTGGAAAGCAATCAGTGGGTATCTCAGGCATGTTAAACAATCCATTACTCACATTAAAAAATACACTTAACACATTTCACAAAATTGATTTCTTGACAATATATTCTTCAACGAGTCAAACTACTTGACTCTGTAATAGAAATATGCATACTGTCACTTCAAATGGCACACTATCCATTTATTTTACCATTTTGAATATCAGAGGAAATCCGTGCCCGAAGTGCTGTCCGAGGTTCTGAATAAAGGTAGGTTTGTCCCTGGTTTTGAAGACGTCCAGCTGGACAGGTGGAATTGCTATCACACTAAAGCTTTTCAACTTAATTGTTGGATGCAAATGAAATCAATTGACAGTATATATAAACTGGCTGTTTGGAGACCACTTAGTAGTAAAGAAAATTTACATTAGACTTTTTTTTTTGTTTAGCAGTTTATTTTGTGTGAGCTTCATAAACCCAAAGCTTTCTTTTTCACTTTCCAACTAAACATCCAACGATGATGGCACATGAGAAGCTGAGAATGCTAGGTGTAAGTAGAGTGATGACAAAGCCTATGACAAATACTGTTGTGGTAAAAGAATTTATGAACAAAAATTGTGGTACAGCGTGTTTACTCTGGTTCCACGAAACGCCGGCTACATTGCAAAAATTGCAGAAATTTGACTAGTCACAACTGAACATGCTATTTTCAGGTAGCTGATATCAATTATATTGGGAAATGAAAACAACCAAGAATATGTATTTTCCCTGGCTGTTGTTATTATTTCTACTAGGGTGAAGACTAAAAATGAACTAATAGAATGGAATAAATGAGACAGCAAATACAAGACAGGACATGTTGGTCTTTAACGTATTTTATAAGTGATGTTTCAAACATGGACTGAAGGAGTCGCTAGATACCTTTGGTTTCAGCACTAGGCGTTCCTTTTAAAGTGCTCAAATAGTGGAATTGTTTGACGGGATTGCCTGCTAGATTGCCGAACTAGCTATTCATGATACTTATTTTTTGACACTGCAGTTATGCCTCCATCTTTTAAAAAATCAATGTTTCTTAGTGCATCTGGAAATGTAGATTTTTTTTCAATCAGCATTTAATAATAGTATCTTAAGAAAGTACAGATAGTAAAAGTCAGTATGATGAATATATTGTGGTATCTTCTTACAATGTAGAAACAACATAACCATAAGTAATTAATAAGAACTTAATGAACACTCAAACCACTCCTTTAAAATTAGGTATTCTTCAGTATGATGCAATCTTATAACTTTTATAAGGTCGAACTTATGCCCTATTTGTTGATAATGAACAGAGATTAATAGTAAAGCACAAGTTCAATAATTTGCCCTTTGCACTTCTTAATAAGGTTAAAGTGTCATCGATGGCATTGTTATTGCTTTCCTCATTAGCTCTTCCTACTAATTTAAATGGTAGTAGTGGATTTAGAGCTAACTGTACTATTTGTGAAGTATATTGCCTATTTCTGCAAATTTTTCATATTAAAAGAACTGTACATTTCTATACTTTTACCTTGAATAAATTTCTACTTGTGACAGTCCGGGAGGGGTGTGAAATGAGTTTAAATATTTTCATCAGAAAAATAGTTGACGACAAGACTTTTTTTAGACAAAACTTTGATTCTGTACGCCAGTTTTAAAAGAAAGAATAATTTAAAAAAGATAAAATGTGCATACAAAACCTCTGGAATCTGCTGCTGCAGCTCAAAGCCCATTATCGTTGTATAAGATTATTTCAGGTATGATAAATGAGTTGGAAAAATGATTCCCCCATTTCCTCCCGAAAGTCCACCTGAGGAAATATCTCTTTACTAATCAAGGAATATGTCAGTCAAGTTTTTAAAAAACAGATTCGACTCTCCAATTGCATCCCACTTATTATCCCATTTAATCTTTTCTACTCAGATTTAAAAATATAAGACTCCTTCAGCTTAATAGCAAGTTAGATTGACAGCACAGTTCTCTGTTTCTGAGCACATCCTTTTTAAAAATACAACTCCTAGACAAAGTGACTTTGACTTAGATAGTCAATTATTAAGATTCATCAGCTGATTGTGAGAAGTGTGTTTGCATACGCCAGGCACTTTCTGCAGGGTCTTACTGAAAATCAAAGCAATTTTCATCGCATCACGTAAATAAATCTTCCTTTTTGGCTACTCAAGGCGAGCTATCAGAATGGTTGCATAATATATATTGAGAAGCTCAGTGGCAGGAAGCAGCTATCTCAATTTTTCTCACTTTATCTTGGCTTAACGTCAGAAGCTGTGCGGCAGTGCAGTGGAATAAGGGCCTGGCGAAACCCTTGCCAGCAAAGCGCCCTTTGTGTTGGGACTGTGGCTGGCTTTCGACACCTAGTCCTTGCAAGGTTGGACTTCCTATTGATTTTCCTTTTCTTGTGCTCTCCCAGGCTCGCGTGGCTGGACATTGTGCTTACTGGATTTCTTCCGGATGCTCCCCGACTAACATGGATGTCCCACCATCCCTTGCTGTGGAAGCTTGCTCCTTGGTGCAGTGAGTGAAGAACATGCAGCGACTGCTAATGGGTTCGGGAAGCGGAGACTCCTTCCTCTTTCTGTGACCATGCCGTGATTGTGTCTGCGGTCACTACTCCACGAATCCTTCTTCTTGTCCAAGCCCGGAGCCTAACGCTAGATCGGGGAAGTGGGTGCCGCGCGCGCAGGCACGGAAACATCATGAAGATTATTTCCCCGTTTCTAAGTAATCTAGTCTTCAGTCGCTCCATTAAAGTCCTGCTCTGCTTACTGTGGATCGGATATTCGCAAGGAACCACACATGTGTTAAGATTCGGTAAGATTCCCGGTATCTCACCACTGCCTGTGTGGGCTCCGAGGCGCCGGATGTAAACAGGCAGTCGCTCTCTGCTTGGCGTGGGCTTGCTGCTCTCAGACCTGCTCCCTCCCTGGTTTTAGAGACCGCCCCCTGCTTTCATTTATCCTCTCTTTTTATCTTCATTTTATTTTGGGCCCCGAGAGGGTAAAGGAGGTGCTAGTTCGTGGTGCTATTTATTGGCCGACAGATCGCTTCACCGTAGCCTGCCGTAGGGACAGTGGTGATGGGGCATGGCCAGCCTGGGATGCTTTGGTTTCCCTGGGAACCCTCCAGCTGTCTGGGTGTCACGGTCTGAGCCAAAGTGAGCGCTAGGGCTGGCAATCCAGCAGCATGTGCTACTGATGAGTTAATGTCTGGTAACTCTTTCATGAGTTGCATCTGTCCGCTTCTGCCCAGACCTGCCTAGGTTCTCAATTGCAAACCCAGGGCACCGTCCTTCTGATTTCTTCTGTATGCAAAGCTTATTATTGGTCAATTTAATCTTTTTCTTTTGTTGGTGTTCTTTTTCATATGCAGAGCTTTAAGAAATAGTGCTATATAATTTAAGGCTTTATTTCATAGTGGGAAGATGCACTCAGTGCAGCGAAATAGCGACTCATGGCAAGCTTCTTGTTTGTTTTGTTTTTTAACTTGCTGAGTTCTTTCACAGCTCTCCCTCCCTGTTCTCTCCTCATACATAATTCCAACCTAATAAATAAGGAATAGTAGTAACTGGAGGCAAGGGCGCCAGGGAGGAGGGGAGTTGAGCGTGGGCTTCTAAGTACATCTTTGTTTCACTCTGACGTGTATAAAAATCCTATATAGTTACATTTGAGAAGGATTTATAATTTTCCCAAAAAACTTAGGCTTCTTTCTCTCTTGAAAGGAAATCAAAAAATGAGTTTCCAGTACAGTCACTAGTCAGGAGGTCTGTTTGAAGGAAATTAAATGTAGGAAATGCTCAGCTGCTCTGGATGACAAGTGGGATATTTTCAGTGAGCTGGGAACTCATCAAGAAAAGTTCCCTAAAAAAGGGCATTGCAAAAGAGGAGAAAGCCATCAGGGCTTGAGCGCCCTACTCTAGGCGCCCTCTCTGTCAGCTCTAAGGGGATCTAAGCCATAGAGGGTAGGGCATATATTCAGAGTATGCATCTTTGAAATAAAAGTAGACACATTAAGTTTTCTGTCTGATATATAGCAGAGGTTCCCTGTACCTTCTGTAACACTAGTATCATCTATTTTTCCAAAGTGATCTTTCTCTCATGCTAAAATTCACTGTCTTCCCCAGGTGGAAATAAAGTAGAAATGCTTTTACATATATTTGAAAATGTAGCCCCCTCCCCATATGTCATCTAGAGTCAAAAAGACTGGTAATAACATGAGACAATAGAGTATATCTAGATTCTGGCTTGAGTATTTTCCTGCTTTCTTCAGTCTTTAGATGGTACTTAAGCATGTTGCTCATAGCAACAAGCATCCACGGGAATGCTTGCTTCTTTAAACAGGATTAAAGAAGTCCCTATATTCCTGGGAACTGTGTGTGAAGATATGTATGGTATGTGTGCCACAACAATTTGGCCATTAGCATGGGACATGCTATACATGGAATCCCCACCCCCAAATAATTTTTAATCCAAAGTACTTAAACAATTGTGTGTGCCGTCTCATGTGTGTTCATGAATGAGTATGCATTGGTAAGAATGTACATGATTGGGGGAAGGACGAACTGGGGCCTGAAAACTGCTACTAGTACTCTTGAAGATTTAATTATTGCTGTTCTAGTCCTGTAGCACAATATTTGCTGAATCATTAGATTGTTACATTTGCTGATCATTTCATATCTTCATATTAAAAATCTTGGTGTCTGTGGCAGTGTAACAGCTTTCTAAAAGAGCACACACACAAGAGTCTAGATTCTTGGGAAAACTATAAATCCTTCTAAAATGAAGCACACACACATGCATGCACATGGTTTTCCTAGACAAACTCTAAAAATGTCCTTAAGAAACAGGGCACTGGGTAAAGACCTCCAAATCAGCCCCTTCACACCTGAGACCAACATTCTACTTTCTAGATGATTTCTGTTTCTATGTTATTATCGAATGTCTTCCACCTGGAGATCCATGGTCTCTAAATCTGACTTGATTCATCAGGAAGGATTGTGTACAGTTGTAATCATTGGAACATTTCCCTGTCGAGACTATTTTGATGCAGTGGTGGGAGTTTTATTTTCTTCCAGTGTAAAAAAGTACTGAGTGGATTGGGTGTTTAGTTAAGCTCTTATGCATGCCTGTTGAAAATGTTTATTTTAAACTTTGACTCTGAAGTTCAACCATCGCTGGCCTCCTGCCCTAGGAGGAAAGGGCTGGGATTGTTATTGGGCAGCTGCTCTTGAGCAGTAGGTATGGGTGAAAGCCACAGCCTTGCCTCAGACCTCTTCCAGAGGCTGCTTAGAGTGACTACAGTCTGTCCAGGAGAAAGGCTTGGGGCTGCCAGCTTCTGGCGCTTCTGCTTGGCACTATGGCAACCGGGAAGCTGACTTGAGGCCACCCTAGCTTCTCTTTTCCCCCAACTGATGATGAAAATTCACCTTCATTAATCTCTCTGTCCTTCTTCTCTCTGCTCCCTAAAGACTTGCCCCCTTCCTCATTTTATCACCTCCAGGAAAGGCAGACGTCCACGCAGCTCAGGGTGTCTTGATCCTGGAGTACCTTCTTTTCCCTGCCTTCTCTAAGCCAACCTCTCCCTCAGTCTTTTCTCTCCCCGCCCCCAAACCTTGGAGCTGCAATGACATGGGGGGAGGGGGGTTCAGGGTGGGATTGCGCTATTGTTATCTTTGATTTGTTCACAGCGACTTTCTAGGACCAAAGAAAACTTTGCAGATGCACCCAGGAGATACCCTTTCCTTCCGCAAGGCCAGACTTTGGGCACTGTGTACTGTGTTAGTAGCTGCTAGGTAAATTACTCTGCAGTGCTGACCCCTGGGTACTTTCCCAAAGCTGTAAGGCCATATTAGGTAGTGAGGGAGAGCACCCAAATGTTGCCTAGGTGTTACCTAATGGCCAATGGGGCTGAGAGGCCTGGACATAGGGGTCTCTTATCTTGGGTCCTGGGGTTTCATTACCTTGGAACCTGAGACATAACTTGGCTTCTTAAGAAGGTGCCCCCCCACCACCACACGGGTGTGGGGGAGGGCGTATTTTCCAGGGGAGAGGTTGTGCTGCTGAAAGTCAGGCCCCTCAGTCCAGGTCAGGTCGGATATCTGCAGCCTGCTGGATTGGGCACAAAGCCCACCACTGCCCCCAGGCTTTTCACCAGACCTTGCACCAGCGGCCACACTCCACTGGCCAGCCATATGGAAATGAGATACCTTTGTTCTTATGTGGCTGCTTCTAAGAGCTGACCAACAGGATGCCCAAGTGGGTGTGTTCCTTGGAGTGAGTTTCTGGAGCCACTGTTTTACCTAAGACGTTTCTTCTATTACTTAAGAGGGCTCTTCTCTTCCGGCTGCTTCTCTTCTGCTCTGTTCCCAGTCCCCAAAGATTCAGCTGCGAACAGACTTCATTACTGCCCTGGTTAATCTTTGAATTTTGGCTTGTTTGTGCATCCTCTTTATTGTCACCACACCCCAAACTGCTACTGTCTCTGAACTTGAGGTTCGATTATTCAGAGTCTTCACCCGCATTGCTATTTAGGACGCTGGGAGCACAGACATCAACCAAAACCTTGAAACTGAGCAGTTTCTCCAAAATAGCCTTTTCCAATAAGGTGAGCAAATAAATGATCTGTCACTCCTTACTATGTGACGTTTCTGCTTTTTTTTTTTAAAGCCAGTCTGAGGATTGTTTTTGTTAAAAAATTTCCGAGTTTATGTCTTCCTCCCAGATTTGCTGTGATTTTTTTTTTTTTTTTTTTTTTTTTGGCACTACACTTCAGCCAGCTGTTAGCCACTGCCCCAGTTTTGCATACGTGGTGCACAAGCCCTAGGTGAAGATACAGCCAGGAGCAGTCCACTATTTTAAAAAATAAAATAAAAGCAAAACATAAAAACACTTCGGAAGGAAAGAAACCAGTTCTTGTGGAATTTTTCCTGTACTCCCAGAGACAAGACTTCCTGGCAGATATACTTCAACATCTAGGAACTGAGTGCAGTTGACTGAGAGCTGGGAAGCTGCCACTCTCCACATGTTCTTTGAAAGAGATTTTTCTTCCTTTGGGAGGTAAAGTGGGAGGGAAGGAGGAGTGGCCTTCTGTCTAGGAGTTTGAAAACTGACTCTTGAGAGAGGAGACGGGAGTGGTAGTAGCCAGTATCTCTGAGAAAGATAACCTGAGCTCAGGATGGCACGTGAGGAAAATCTGCTAAAATCACCAAATGAGGGTGCATTTTTTCTAAAGATTCCCCTTTTCTGAAAACTTCTAGCTTAGTTTTAAAGCGTCAAAGAATAACTTGATGTGATCTATCAAGGGAGGCACAATCATTTCAGAAAACGACTTTGAGAAATGATCTTTCTGTCTCCCAGAATCCGCTCTCCACCCAGTCACATGGAACTCAGCAGTGTTTTCTGGCTTTGTAGCATTGTCTTTCAGAAGTGAACAAGGGTTTATATATCGATGGACTTTTTTTTCAGAGAAGTTTGGCTTTTGGTTCAATTTAAGTGATCAGTAAAGCGTGTTTATTCTCAGATTCTATACTGACACTGTTTCAACATTTATTCTGCAAGGGAAGTTAATTTAAACTGCTTTCACACGAAGGGAAAAAAATACTATAGATCAGTGGTTTCTCAACTTTTCTAATGCTTTGACCCTTTAGTACAGTTCCTTGTGTTGTGATAACCTCAAGTATAAAATTATTTTTGTTTCTACTTCATAACTATAATTTTGCTACTATTATGAAATAATATTTTTGGAGATAAAGATTTGCTAAAGGAGCAGTATTGATTATCAGAAATTTTTTAATTTATTCCCAGATTATAGTGTCA